GTTAGAAATAAAATTGACCAAGAAGAAACTATTTCACCTCTAATGTAGAGAATTTTTTATAACCCTTTGTTATATAAAATTCAGAATAATAAATCAAAAGAATATGAAATATCAATCATCTGAGATCCAAATCTAAAGGAGATAGAATTAATAAGAAATTAAAATCTAGATGCAGTATATAGCTATTACTTTTATAGATAATACTATATGGGTAACAAAATTAAACAAAGATATGGAAAAGATTCTAGAAAAAATTAGAATCTTTTATAGAGTCAATGGCTTTCAAATCAATAGTAATAAATCTATACTAGTTACTATTAATAATCTTAATTACTATTTAAAAGAAATTAAAGTAGGAATCAATAATAAAACAATTAGGGAATTAGACAGAATTAAATATACAAAATTTCTGGAAATCCAGATTGATAATTAAAAGACAATGGTTGAGTTAAAAGAGCAAATACATAGAGATATCAATATAATTATATACTGTAAGCCTTTAAAAATAAAAAGTTGATTGACAAATAAATATTTTAAATTCTAAATAAAGTCCTGATACCAAGAATAGTGTTCCATATGCAATATAGTATACTATCTTGAAAAATGAGTAACATTTTAATCACAGCATATAAAAAGCTCCTTAAAAACAAAAGCAACTTATACAGATCTATACTCAACAATATGATATATTATTCAAAGATCTATAACTTAAAGAGTATTTGGATGCTACAAAAGAAAAGTTAAATAACAAGACTATATAATAGACTAAATGACCCAGGACCAGTAGGATTTATAACAATTATCAGAATCAAACAAACACAAGTTAAATATTGGAAGTCACTTAATCTACTTGTCTGTAAATTATTAAATCATATTTCATATAAAGCTAACTTTGTATTTCAAGTAATAAAGCTGATTAAAGATATAGAGATAAGGTTTGAAATTTGAAAATAACAAGATATCTTTGAATAGAACAAAGGAAACTATTTAATCAAAGAGTACCTAATATTAGACAAATATATAAAAACTATACTATCACTTAGAAACAATAAGCTAATATATGGAAATCAATTAATTACTCATAAAACTAAAGAACTAAGAAGATGGTAAATAATTCAATTAATTTAGAAAACCAATAAGGGACCTATTCCAGAGTGATATCTAGCTATAGAAAGAGATATATAAGAAAAAAAATTAAAACAGTTCACAAAACTCTAAAAAGAAAACTGGTCAAAATAAGAATTGGCAATTATAAAGATAAATTTGAATTATGATAAAAGATAAACATTCTGGATAGCAACAAATGATAAGTATCAGAAAATAATATAAGAAAAATTAAAGTTGAAATATATTAAGCAAGTAACACAAATAAAATACTTCAAATGTACTGAGCTTTCAAATAATTAGAAAACCAGCCTAATAAAATGGTTAGGATATACAGAAGATAAAATAGTAAAGAGTCAATGCATAATAGAAATAAAAATAAATAGAATATATAAAATTTTCTATTTAAATATAAGGAAATTCACGAGAAGAATTCAGCAATTAAATATCATTAGTTTCAAACCAATTTTAGAAAAAACAATAGGAAAAACAATCCAATATAATTATAAATCCAGTCTGAATAGTAGAGTAAGTCAAGTATACATAGAGAATTGAGGAAAACATATCATCAGAAGTAATATAAAAGAAGAAGTATAACAAGATCATCCAATTGAAATACTTTAATATTTAATAGTCTAAATAAATATTGATATTTTACTTTAATAAATCTTTTATCAATTATGAAAGTAAAAAAATGAAGATGAGAATAGTATGGGTACAAGTAGAAAGAAAGAGTAGAGAAAGTAAATTCTAAACAAAAATAGATGACTAGCTATTATCTACTAGAGTAAAACTAGTAACAATAGTCACAATATTATTAATTGTTCCAATAAACAATAAGGTCAAGATTTCTATAGATAGTCAAGTTTGTATTGTCAAGTGAAAGATAATAGAGAAAAAATATTCTAGAAAATTTTATAAAAATGGTTGAAGGAAAAGAATTAGTCCTATGGGCAAAAATATTGGATATTATTAAAAAAAAAAAGCTGAATCTGGAACTAATCCAGATTAAAGTACACTTTAATGATCTATACAATAAAAAAACAGATATTCTAGTAAAAAAAGTTTTAATGCTTCCTGTAATCGAATAAAAAAATCTTACTTCATTCAAAATTATCATTGAAATCAAGTGAAATGAAATAATTTTAGATAATTTTATAAGATAGTTTATTAAAATATAAATAGCAAAATTATAGCTTATCAAGAGACAAAACAAAATAAGATTTCTAATAAATAAAATTGATAGATTTGAGATCAATGTGACTACGCATGAAATTTAATATGGGAAAGAATGAAGAATGTATATACTTGAGATATCTCTTTTAAATATGCACAATAAAGAAATTTCTTTATCAAATTAATTAATGAAGAGTTACCAATGCTTACCAAACTAGCTATAAGAAGATCAAATCTATATAAACATGTAAAATATATAATATATAAATAGCAAGCAGAAATAATAGAACACCTACTAAAATGTTCAGTATATAAAGTCCAATGGCAGAAAATATAAAATAAAGAAATTGAATACATTCTAAAAAATTTTGAAAACTTTTGCATGAGAGAAAAAAAGGGATGCAAGAGAAAAAAATAAGATTTTTAGTTGAAGACAGAGTAGAATTAGGATAATTGAATAAATATATAGCCAAGCTTATAGAAGAGATTGCAGAGACAGGCTAGAATATACTAAACTTTTACAATGAACTAATATGAAGTGATCATATATTGAAAATATCAAATCTAAAATTTTGTCAAAAAAAAATAAGTAAAGAAGTTTGAAAGTGGATAATAAAGATGCAAAAAAAGATTTGCAACTAATTATAAAAGAAAATTTGAAATAAAAGATGCTTAAGAATGATCGAGTGAGAACAAGTACAAGGGATCTATAGAAAAGACAAAATAAGAAAATCAGTTAGTCCTTTAAATCAGAACAACAAGATCACAATTATAAAAAGGTCTTTACAAAAAGAAGAAAAACTTGAAGATAAAGGTTTAAAATAAATCTTACTAGAAGAATTAAAGTATAGAATAAGATGGTTAGGATTTTAACTTTTGTCAAAGCTTATAAGAAGGATCTGTAATAGTAATTTGTAGGCAATGAAATTAGTAGTTGAAAAGGTTTTTATCTGAGCTACTAATAGAGCAATAAATAATTTTTGAAATTACATTTAGAGTGATAATAATTAAGATGAGTAAGCTAATTAGAGATTTAGTTTTAATGATTAATTTTACATGTATAGTATACTAATTTTAATAAAGCACATATAATTAGTATGATAAAGAGCAAAAAAAAATTAAAAAATATATTTGAAACAAAATATATTTATAAAAGTAAAGATTTTATAAAATAATAAAATTTTTAAAAGTATATAAAAAAAAAATTCAAAATTAAGAATAGATAAGTTTTTTAAATAATTAAAAGAAAAAAAATATTTCAATTAAATAAATCTTATTAAAAAAGTATTAGAATATGAATTTTGAAAGAAAATTAAATATTATTTATTTATTTATTTTTTATTATTTTTCTTATAAACATAATTATATATTTTTAGATATTTTTTTTTTTATTTTTTTTTTTAATTTATCTCTTGTATAGTTTTTTATATTTCAATGATTTAATAAAATAATTAATAATGATAACTTGTTGATTGCAATATATGATTAAGAAAATTATTTACCTAAAATCTATTATAAAGTAACAAATTATTTTTAAGATTAAATTTATATTTATAACAAGTTAGATAAATTTATATTTAAAGTTTAACTATTATATTGCTTTAATAAATACTGAATATTCTTTTAATTAATAAATTTTTCAATCTAGCCTGGCTGCAAATTATTTACACAAAAAAAAAAACTATAGTTTTAAGTTATTCAAATTGAGAAAAGTGAATTAGAGAATTGGCTTTAGTAATATATAAATTTATGTATAGTTTATAAGGTTTAATCAAAGAGTTAAGTTATAAAAATTATGTATTCAACATGATTACGAATAATGCAAAAAAAGTAATAATATTATATATAATATAAAGTTATATTTAAAAAATAAAGCTTTGTAGATAAATAAGTATAATATAAAGTAATAGTAATAAATAACTAAAAAATTTTAAAAAATAGCGCCGCATACAGTCTCCGGGTACTAATCAATCTTGGCGAAACGATACTTTATATTCATAAGTTGGATTTAATTAATTTCTGCCAAATTTATTTAGCTCCGGTCCGATTTAGTTAATTCCATTCGGATTTAATTAAATTTATTTTATTTATGTATCAATGCTTCGAATTTTATATCGATGCACAAAAGTTGGACAAATTCGGACAAGGCTATTCAAGATACCACTATTTCTTACAATAGTCAAGCTACAAAAAACTCGGCGGGATAATTTATCTTTACTGATAATATTCTCATGCAAAACACCAACGTAGTATGGTCTGTGGTTATTAAAGACGACAAAAGCTCTGCGTATTCTGTAAACGCATGTTTTATGAAATTCGTTTTAGTATCAAAAGAAAATCCTGGCGACTCAAGAAATGCCGGGAAGATAATTTCGTTTACAATTATACCCAAATGTTAGAGAATCATGCTTTGAAACCATACTAGATTCGAGTTCCTGGCGGAGTTGGAATCTTTAGTGATTTCGAGAAATTTTCGGAATGTCTTGCGTTTATCGCAATTATCAAATCCTCTCACAAATCTTGATGCACAGCAAGGGATAATGCATTGTTGTTAGGAACAAAAACTCATTTTTATGACACAAAAGTGGTTTATTACTCACGCGAACTAGGCGAATTCCTAATATCTTGTTCTGATTAATGAAGGTTTCCAATCAATAGGATGCGTTTCGGGGGTCTAAATAAATAATTAAGTTAGAAAAAGTTGAATTTAAATAGAGGAATTAGCATATGCTTACAGCTTCGGGATCTTCTCTCCAAATTTTTATAGTTTTATCAGCTTCACAAGTTATTAATCTTAAGCCTGAGCGGTCAAATGTGCAAGCAAATATTCCAGCCTCGGATTCCAAAGAACCAGGCTGTACAGTTGTCTCCATCGACTGAAATTTATACCCAGATTTCCAATCCCAAAACACCATTGAACCGTTGTCGGCTAAGTAAAGTATGAAAAAATGGAATTCTAAATATTCGACGATGAAGAAGCATGTTTATATGATTAATTTAAAAAATAAATTTACCTCCAGAGAATAAAACGTTATCAGCATTAACAGCCAATGCATTTATAATAGCTCGATGTCCCTCAAAGTTTTGCATAAAGGTTCCTTCAGGGCATTTCCATTGCTTAATATTATCAGCACTACCACTAGCAAAAGTAAATTCAGATGGATGTAATGCTAATGCTCTGACCGACTTTTTGTGATGCGTGAGTGTGGTCAGTGTTTTACCAGCTGCTAAATCCCAAAGCCTAATCGTGGAATCCATTGAACCCGTGAGAATCTGAGGATCAGCCTCTTGACATTTTACATCCGCTACGGTGGTACTATGACCGCTAAGAACATGAATGCATTGCTTTGTTCGCATGTCCCACACCTAATAATAATAATACTAAACAAACAATGCATCTTAAGATAACTTGGTTAACATGTGTGATTTACTTACTCTCGCGGTAGCATCTCTTCCAGCGGTAGCCAGAACATCCAAAGTAGGGTGTAAACTTAAAGAGTAAACACCTGATAAATGTCCATGGTAATGTCGGATGACTTTATTTTGTTCGAGGTCCCAACATTTCACCATCTTGTCTTCCCCACATGAAAATAAATATGGGTGACGCGGAGACACGGCAAGGCCACGGACGGTGGAAATATGTCCCGTAAGAGTGAGTCTTAAAGTACCTGACGCTAGATCCCATATCTAGAAGAGATATGGATACTATCAAGTGAGACTTACTTAATATTATTCATAAAAATTTGCGTCCGTTTTTTTTTTATTACCTTGATAGTCCTGTCGCCGGCACCTGTTACGAACCATTTATTCCCCGGTTCCATAGCAATGGAACGTACCCATCCTAAGTGTCCACTAATGACTCTCATCAACTTCCAAGGAGCATGCCACTCTGGTCTGGTAATGCGTGGTGTATGGCGCCTTACTAGTGAACCAGATGTAGCTTCAGGTGTAGCATTGATCCCAGCCTTCTGACGAATTGCGACCACGCCATGTGATGTTTTCGCGGCTTCTCGTCTATATTAATATTGTAGTGTTAATCAATTGCTCTTCCTTTAAAATCCATTTAATTAAGAAACATACTGGGCGTGAGATGGAGGAAGGCTTTCTATTAATTTTTGTATATTACTATCAGATATTTGACCTTCTGTCGCATCATCGCTAGTAAGCGTAACACCTAAAAAAAAAACAATACCAAGTGAGCCTCTTACAATAATAAAAAATAGTAAAAAATAATAAATGGATAGACGCTGACTTACCGGGTGTTGACGGATAAGGATGTCCACCGGTGATTTGGGGTATATGTTCAGTGTCAATTTGCATATTTCCAACATCTCCGTTCGTAGTTAAGTTGGATTCATTATCTTCAGAAGTTGGTGCCAATCTTTTTTGCCCTCCACTTTGTTGTGCTAATAGAGCTTTTGGTAGTTCTTTTACTTCGTCGTACTCATCGTGAAGTTTTATGCGCAATCTAAATTTTTGACTAAAAATTGAAGCTTTGTTAAAAATTTAGCTTGAGAGACACATCTGGAATGTAAAACTCGCAGCAACTCAACAGCATGAATCATCGGAATTTAAAACCTTTCGTCCTCTAAAAGTGAGCTATCTGCAACTCCCGATTGAAACATGACTCTCGTACGCTTTACTGATCTATGTAGTAAATGATCCATACTATCTATATTATCTGTAGATGCCATTTTGATGATGAGAATATACGTTTACGTAGTTGCGTTTATATATCTTTTAAATTGATCTGCTGATCGACATGATAAAATTTATATAAGGGCGTTTGTTTAGTTTTTGATCAGTAGATTCGATATCTAGAAAATGAGCGGTTTTACTGTTGTATGGGTCGGATTTATTGTTGGAGCTCTTGTCGCTCTCTCCTACATTGCTGTTCCTAAAGGACAGAATCAAACGTAAGTATGTGGAGTAATAGAAAATGCAATTTTTAACATCATTTAAAGTAAACAATATTCCTTTCATTTAAAATAGGACGATACGGACTTCTCTTATCTTAACCTTCATTTGTTGTTACTTGATGTAAGTCATATTTCTCCAACTCTTAAATAGTAGAAAATTATTGCTATTCACACTAACAATTTCGACTTTATAATAAAGGTGGGCCATTACTTATTTAGCTCAACTTCATCCTTTAATAAATCCAAAACGTCGTGAGGAAATCTGAACTTATCACAGAAAATTTTATTCGACATTTTTTTCATATTCTAGTTAAATGTATGGTATATAACATATTATTTAAATGTTACCGTGTTTGCTTATTCACTATAAAGTATATAATTTGGTTTATATTGTGGGATCTATTTTGAAGTGTGTACATTACACGTTGTTACTATTACATAGCATCTTTGTAATTTTATTCCTGTTTTTTTAGATTCTTTCGATTCTTATTTCCCTGCATTTTCTTTCGATATGAGGGGGTTCTCATTTAAAATTTAAATCACAAGTGTATTTATTTTCAAGTGGCACTTGTCTCATCATCAACGGACTTACCGTTAAACACTTTGAAATTTTATTTCGACAAAATTTATTTTACATTAAATGTTACCCTCAGACCGGATTCAATTAAATGAGCTTATAATTTACTGCTATATATTTTAACATGATTATTAGATACTTAATAATAATTTTTTTTTAATTACAAAAGTCTTATTATAACTTGATAATAATAATATTATTATATACAGTATTGTAATAATAAAATATGATATCATTATTAATATCATAATATGAATTTTATAATATATTTTTGATAATAAAAATATAATTTTATTAGTATATAATATTTATTTTTATAATATATAGCTTGATTTTATCAAAAAGAAATATTTGAATTAAGTTATAATATTCTATGTATAATTTTTTTTTTATTACTTTTAGAAATGCAAATTCAATAATAATATATTATATACTAGTTTAATAATTATAATTATTTATTTTTGAGATATATAATCAAAAAACTAAAATATAACTTGTAATTTTTAAATTATTAATTATAATAAAATTTTTAATTGTATGTTTGCAAATAAATATAAAATCTTGAATTATATTTTAAAATTTAAAATTAGACTTAAAATTATAATTCTAATCTAATTTTTTTATATAAGCTTTGAAATTTTTTTAATCCTTTATATTAAAAGTTTATTAATAGATTAATTTAATTTAATATCACAATCTACTTGCTTATTTAATTTTTTGTAATCAATAATTTAAATTAATCTAATCTTGCAATTCTGTATTATTATTATTTTATATGTTATATAGAATTTTAATAAAAAAAATTAATATAATTAAGATATATAAAATTCTTTTTATAAAAAATTCTTTTCATGCATTTTTTCATTATATATAAAAAAGATGTTTATTAAAAGTTTTTGAATTTTTTGACTAATAAAATTTTATTATTATTTTTAAACCTATTTAAAAAATATTTTAAAAGTTATTATTATATTTTTCTTCTGTTTATAAATTTTTTTGATTAAAAATTATTGATTAATATAAAAAATATCAATTTTGAAAATCTAAATATGCTTTTATTGATCATATTTTTATTTTTTAATAAAAATATATATGATTAAAAAAGAAAATTTATTGGAAAATTTTTAAATTATTGTTTTTTTCTTTATAAAAATATAATTAAAATCATATAATTTATATTATATCAAAAAATAAGTAATAACTTTAATAAAGAATAGATTAATTTTGAGAATTTTAAAATAATTAATATTATTAAAAAATTATAAAAAGATTTATAGAATAAGTTTAAATATATAATATATTAAAAATAACAATTTTTTGATAAATAAAAAAATAAAAAATTTTATATAATTTAACTTTACAAAATATCCAATATACTTTATTTTAATTAAAAAATATATATATATAATTTTTTTTATAAATTAATATATTATATAAAATATAAAGAGTATATAACAATTTTAGATAAATTGATTAATCCAAAACTATAAAAAAAAGTTAATAAATTACTAAATAATCTATTGTATTTTTATATAAAAAAATATAATTAATATATAAAGTTTTTTTAAATATATAAAATAAAACAATTAACTTAAAATAAATCCACAAAAGATGACTAAAGGAACAAAATTGGTCTTTGTAGATACGAATATTAAGCCTGATAAAAAAAAAAAGAATTAGATCTAAATCTTATCCAGGTTAAAGTAC